TTCTTATGAGAGCGATGCCATGGCTTCTGTCATCAGCAGGCTGTGTGACTCTAGACCTTCTTGTATCCTTACACAGTAAGTGTGACCACGCATCACTCAAACTGTGTAGAGATTCACAACTCACTTTGCTAGTGTGGGGTCGGGCCTCATTTTGCCTTCAGAGCTTTGTGTCATAGATTCGACAAGGTGCTGCAAACATTCCTCAGACGTTTGAGTCCATATTGATGTGATTGCATCACACAGTTACTGCAGAGTTGTCAGCCCTACATCCATGATGTGAAGCTACTGTGCATTCAGAGATCCTCTTCTGCTTGCCTAGACTGTGACAACTGACTGTTATTTGAGTCGCTGTTGATTTCTCTGACCATTCTCTGTAAACCAGAAAGTTGTGTGGAAAACTCCTGTTAGATCAGCAGTTTCTGAAATACTCAGACCACGCCATCTGGCACCAACCATGCCACATTCAAAGTGACTTAAATCGCCTTCCTTTCCCATCCTGATGCTCAGTCTGAACTTCAGCAGGTCATTTTGACCATGTCTACATGTCTAAATGCATGAAGTTGCTGCTGTGATTGGTTGATTAGATACTTCCAATAATGAGTGGCTGAACATGTGTACCTAACAAAATTGATGGCGAGTGTGGATTCTCACTAAAACCGGGGCTCCTGTCCATTACATCTAGATTTAGGTGATTTGCTTGAGTCTGTGCCAGTCATGCTGTGGTGTGGTTTGTTGACCTTTAACCTGTCATGTCAGATTGTAATTACTCATTGGTGCAAGAGAGGCTCCAGCAAGAAGGCTATGAGACTTTTTGCAGATACAGAGCGCCTTTTAGGTGGTTCACGGCGCCCTGCAAAGAATAACACTGCCATGAAGAGACAGACAAAAGGGCAAATTCCTTCATCAGCACAAACAAAAGTAAGCTTATTTTGTTTAGTCATACCACACTTTTGTTATTGTGTGTGCAAGGCTGCTTCTTGGATTTCTCAGAGTGAATTTAATAGCTTGTTGTCAATCAGACTTCCATAATAAACATGCTTTTTACTGTAATACTGATAATATTGGACTTTTACTTACTGCTTTCTTGTGTGGATTAAGTTATTTGGAAGTAGCACTATGCAGGCATTGTTCTGCAACAAACACTATTAGCATACACTAATAATAAAGCCTTGGTGTGACTATAATAGTATTCTTTTTCTTCAAAGATAAAAGAGCTCCAGAAGATGAGAGAGGTGGGCCAATACATGGATGTCAACAGTCAACCTGCGAGAAAAGTAAGCAAAGAATCTGTTGTGACACGACATTTTTCCAACAGCAGTTTGTTTGATAGGATCTCTTCACTGCACACCGTTATTCTTCAAATACTAGATGTGCTTTCATTTTTGAAAATGCCCCTCGAGAAGGTGACGTCACCCTGGGGAGACGTGGGAAGCGAGCCTCTCAGCAGGAGGGCTGGGGCGATCGGAGCCGACGGCTTCTGCTCCGCAGACACATCCTGTGACTCCTCGCCGGTCAGCTCGGATCTGGAGGTGAGTTGGACTACTTGGATACAATCACTTAAATTAAGAAATGAATCAAATGTATCACTAAATAAACATTTCTCCTCCTCTCTCTAAAGCTATGATATATTTTCAAAAAGCTGGTAATCTTAATACATCAGATGTCAGTTCTCACC